TATTATATTTTAAATTGTACATTACATTATATTTCATTGAATATTTAATATTATTTTTTATATTGTACTTCATATCATATTTTACATAATATTTAATATTATATCCTATATTATATCCTATATTATATTTCATATCATATTTTACATAATATTTAATATTATATCCGATATTATATTTCATATCCTATATTATACAATATTTAATATTATATTCTATATTATATTTCGTATCACATTTCATGTTATACTCTATATAATATTTCATATTATACTTTACATCATATTTTATACCATTATAATCCTTTTTGCATACTTTAATTCATCGCACACATACGTCGGTCTAAAAAAAGAATCGTACGATCGGTTGTATTACCTTCGGATTCCGAACATCGGTCTCGGTTTTCGCGCCGCCATTGTTCTTGCAGCCGTATTGCGGCATGCTCCTGGTGTCGCCGACCGATTTCGATCTCTTCAAGCACTGCTTGGGCGGTTTCGCCGACATTGTAATGCTCGCCCTTCTAATCGGCTTCTTCTTGTTCAGCTCCATGAAGTCCGGGCCCGGCCATGCCTTCTGTATCAAGTTGCATTTTCTTCGGCCGTACATCGAGGGGAACTGATATCCGTCGGCACAATAGAGCATGCTCCTCGTCTGACGAGTGACGTACACGTCGCCGAACACGCGCTCGTTCTCCACAGACACGCATTTCACACGGTAACTGATCTCCGCGTACTGCTTCAGCGGCGTCACGTTGCAGCTGCTCATCTTCGCTCAGCTGTTTCGATCTCTTTCGTTCCTTCTCCGAATGGCCGTCGCGCTGTCAATTCCGCGGGAAAGCTGGACGTTCCCGGGTCGTTACCATGATTTATGGTAACGTAAACATGTTTTGACGTTGGCCACTTTACGATTGGATCGAGAGAGTTTTGATTTTTCGATAACTTCAACGAGGTTCGTGTCTCGCAGTTCCTGGGGCAATGCACCGGGTGACGTAATTGTAATTCTACAAATCAGAGGTTTCTCCATTTTATTTGTTTATTTGTTATTTATTATTTGCAACAGGCTCAAAGGCAGCCTTCAATTAATTTCGTTTACGCGAATTGTTTATAACATTGAAAACCTCGCCGATTCTTCTCAAATTGAATTATGTTGTAGAGCTTGACATTCTGAATAACTTTTTCCTTGGCGAAAAATCTCTATCTGCACCGGTTTCGGAGATATCGCAGAAAAACCGGAGGACTAACCCAGACCTAACACGTAGAACGTTAGGTCTAGGTTAGGTCTGCCGACAGCTTTCGGGAATATCTCGGAAACTAAAAGAGAACGACATTTTTGGCAAAGGAAAAAGTTGTTCGAAACACGAAACTCTATAACATATTCAAATTTTGTGAAAATCGGGGACCATCTTGTAAACAATTGTCCTGCTTTTTTATAATTTAATAATCTCGCAAATTAAACGCCCGAGAATTTTCGATTTAGTCGATCGCGATACGAGAGTTTTATTCCGATATAATTATCAGACTGTGAATTCCATACAATTACAATAAACATTGTTAAACAAAGAAATTGTTCTTCCGCTTAGTCGCAAAATAATTCCAACAAAATTCGTGAATTATTCCATCCGAACGCGGCAATTATTTCAAGCAGTTCCGTGCAAACTTTCGCGTTTTCCAACGCTGGAAATTAACATAATCGAACGATCCGTCGCGAGGACTGTCACCAAAGTCAACAGATAAATCGCCGGACAATGCCTCTCTGACATTTATACGCGTAACAGGCGATAAAGAACGACCTTCTTCGCAGTTACACTTATCTGACGTTTATCATCTGTTGATACCGGATACGTACGTAATTGTTCCTGTAACGTCACCCACCGACAAAAATCAAGGTTCAATAAGGCGAGCCGCCAGCGTCGTTAATTTGCTACAATTAACAATTAGTGTATTCGGTACGATCGGAAAATACTTTTCGTACGCTGCGTTTGCTAATTAAGCGAATATTACAGCGACCGAATTTTTTCCAAGGTTTCTGGTAATATTATTCTGTTATTTATTTATTGTTAATTAGTTTTTAATAAATAATATGTTATTTATTGTAATTAATAAATTCGAGTATTCAGGACATTCAGCAAATATTTTTTGGGCACTTCGTTCGCTAATTAAGCGAATATTACAGTGACCGAATTTTTTCCAAGCTTTCTGAAAATATTATTCAGCCACTAAGCTCTACTAATTAATAATTGCAGCGCTAATTTACCGAACAATCCGAAATTATGTCACGCGATCCTATTCGCGTCTACGGCGCAATTCCTAAACTGCAATCAATTCTTCAATGCACTCCGGTCAATTAGAGTATGTATTTAGAACGCAATCGTGTCTCACGTGTCACCAAAAAAAACGATCACTTTGCACAGCTGTGAAAATAAATCCGCGGGCACCGTCACATTCCAGCCGAACCGAGGACCCGTTCGTGTTTTCAAGCGACGACGACGTTTATTTCACAACGTGTTCCGCGCGGCTGAACCGAGCGTGTTGTTCTAGGCGGTTTTTGGTTCGCGCGGCACAGGAACTGCGGCCCTTATCAGGAGTCCGGTAATACGCTTCTGGTGGACAGACCGCAACTGGAAGTGTCGGCGAAGATAATCGTTTCATTAAGTCTATACCGACGCTCGTCGACAACGCGACGAGCAGGCCGACGGTGGCGGTGCACTTAATGATGGAACAGTTGTGCATCGGAATCGACACGTGCCGGCGAAAATCGTGCACCTTGGAGAAATTACAATCGAACGCCAAACAGTCTGCTCGTCCAACACCGAGAGAACATTTTTCTGCGGACTTGTTTATACGATAATCCTTCCGTAGATTTTCTTTATTATTCATTTTTACACTGATATTTTTCTGTATTAATTTTTATACCGACAATTTCATGTATTAATTTTTATACAGATATTTTTATATATTAATTTTTACATAGATATTTTTATGCACTCATTTTTATACAGATATCTTTATGTATTAATTTTTATATAAACACTTTCACAATAATTTTTATATAGACATTTTTATGTATTAATTTTTATACAGATACTTTTGTGCATTAATTTTTATACAGATATTTTTATATAGACAATTTCAAGTATTAATTTTTATATAGACAATTTCAAGTATTAATTTTTATATAGACAATTTCAAGTATTAATTTTTATATAGACAATTTCAAGTATTAATTTTTATATAGACAATTCCAAGTATCAATTTTTATATAGACAATTTCAAGTATTAATATTTATATAGACAATTTCAAGTATCAATTTTTATATAGACAATTCCAAGTATCAATTTTTATATAGACAATTTCAAGTATTAATATTTATATAGACAATTTCAAGTATTAATTTTTATATAGACAATTTCAAGTATTAATTTTTATATAGACAATTTCAAGTATTAATTTTTATATAGACAATTTCAAGTATTAATTTTTATATAGACAATTTCAAGTATTAATTTTTATATAGACAATTTCAAGTATTAATTTTTATATAGACAATTTCAAGTATTAATTTTTATATAGACAATTTCAAGTATTAATTTTTATATAGACAATTTCAAGTATTAATTTTTATATAGACAATTTCAAGTATTAATTTTTATATAGACAATTTCAAGTATTAATTTTTATATAGACAATTTCAAGTATTAATTTTTATATAGACAATTTCAAGTATTAATTTTTATATAGACAATTTCAAGTATTAATTTTTATATAGACAATTTCAAGTATTAATTTTTATATAGACAATTTCAAGTATTAATTTTTATATAGACAATTTCAAGTATTAATTTTTATATAGACAATTTCAAGTATTAATTTTTATATAGACAATTTCAAGTATTAATTTTTATATAGACAATTTCAAGTATTAATTTTTATATAGACAATTTCAAGTATTAATTTTTATATAGACAATTTCAAAAATTAATTTTTATATAGACAATTTCAAGTATTAATTTTTATATAGACAATTTCAAATATTAATTTTTATATAGACAATTTCAAGTATTAATTTTTATATAGGCAATTTCAAGTATTAATTTTTATATAAACAATTTCAAGTAACAATTTTTATATAGACAATTTCAAGTATTAATTTTAATATAGACAATTTCAAGTATTAATTTTTATACAGATATTTTTACGTATTAATTTTTATATAGACATTTTTTTGTATTAATTTTTATATAGGCAATTTCAAGTATTAATTTTTATACAGTTATTTTTACGTATTAATTTCTATATAGACATTTTTATATACTAATCTTTATACGTAAATTTTTATATGTAATGATATTTTTATATGTAAATTTTTATACAGCCACTTCTACGCGCTAATTTTCACAGAAATCTAAGAAATCCGTGAAAGTAGTCGACCCCCACTCCGCCGCGCAGGAGTCGCGCGGCGCGTCACGTGACCCAGCCCCACTCCATCGCCCGGAAATCCAGCCAATTCCTCCGCTACCATTTTCACCGGTCACGTCGCATTTCCCCGGTTCCCGCGCGCGTCTCGCCGAGCCTCTTAGCAGGAAGCTCGCCGGGAAGCGCGATTTTAAGCCGGTCAACGAAACCGCTACTGTTATCGACGTCGCTGATAGCGCGACCGTCGTAATGCAGTGCACACTCGGCTAGAATTTCAAATGCTCGGGCGGCCTGTGCAGTAGTCGTTCACCTGGCTGCCGTGCCGGTTCAATAACCCTCTTTTCCACACAAAAAACGAGCGCACCGAAGGGACACCGAGCCCCTATCTTCTCAAACGAGAGCTGCACACGCCGGACTATTTTCAGCGCGAACCTGTTTATAAATACGTTTTACGTAACGGAAGAATGCGCGGCGGATCCGGAAACGAAGTTCCCGGGAATCGATGCTGGCTCGTGCATTCGGCGTGATCTCGGCAAAGCGCGCCGTCCGCGGATGCCTAATCGCACATTAGGTCACTTGTTCGAGCGATCCTTCGGCGATTTTTAACAAACGATTTTTTATTATATATTGTAACCTTTATTATAAAAATTTTTATTATAAAATTTTTTATTATAAATATTTTTATTCTAGTAATTTATTATATATTATAATTCTTATTATAAAATTTTTGATTATGAATATTTTTATTATAACATTTTTTTTACATATATTTTTATTATGAATATTTTTATTATAAAATTTTTTATTATAAATACTTTTATTCTAGTAATTTATTATATATTATAATTTTTATTATAATACTTTATTATATATTATATAATTTTTATTATAATACTTTGTTATATATTATATAATTTGTATAATAATAACTTATTATATATTATAATTTTTATTATAATTTATTATACATTATAATTTTTATTATAACAATTTATTATGAT